TGTGTCACGACAACAATGAGGATCAAGACCAAGCGTGGTACAAGACTTGAAGGCATTTCGTCTTAGAACAGAGCGAAGAAATGGATGTGTGTGATATGACTGCTATACAACGTCGCTTCTATGCTGTGATTTCTGTCTACGGGCCTTTTTGTCACCACTCAGGAACGTCATCAATATTCATAAAAAAGGCTGGCACAATTTTTAAGCACTAGGGCTTTGTCTTCCCGTGGTATCCGGACCACGGAGATTAGATTGAGAGCTTCTCGTTCCATTGTGCTAGACGTTATATCCGGACCTTTCCTTTGTTTTGACAAAACGTGATAACCTGCTGAAACAACAGCTGCTCAAACAGTTGCTTTTTACTCTCTTACATGATTGTGTACTTTGTCATGAATAGCGTTGTCCATATCCTCTGTTTCTCTCTGACTTACCTCAAAATCTACCCTACAATCAATCACCGCACTAAGACGCGACAACCTTTCATCCACCGCCTGCTTTAGCAGTAGAAAGACTGGGCTCAACACCTGAAGAATTATAGTGTTAGATTTGTAGGCCCCCACACCTTACGTATTCCTTTCATGCGTCATGCGATTCTCAATCATATATCGAAGAACGGTGGAAATATAAGATAATTAGATGTTTTAATGGATATATATCTCTGACAGAATCAGAAAGTGCCAGAAAGAAGTAAGAACCCATATGTAACGAGTTCTGAATATAACTGGCATTCGACTAACACGTATACACGTGATATATTTGAATACCTATTCTAACCCTTTACTAGAAAAGGATCACCCAAAGGAATGCACTAACGTCAAAATTCAATTTGACATCCTTATAATTTGCGTATTGCTACATGTTTGCAGCCAGCATGTTATTACGCAGTTCCAAGCTAGTCGTATAAGAATGCAAGTTTTGAAATAGAAGTACAAACACACTTTCAGCGTACATAGTATAAACATTATTTTATTACAGAAAATATTTTTTCTTCAGAATTAGCTGGTTTTTTTAGTTTGCCATGTTACTTTCTGAACGATCACCAAACTATTTTACGTACAATAGGTAGTTCCTATTACTGGTTGTAGGTGTCCAAGTTAGTTCTGATATTCACCGTGTTGTTGTAGCCATCATTTCGTTGCATTGGTGTCTCAGCAGGTAAGTCAACGTTTTGGTCAGGTGAATCCACTTCCTCTTGATTTTGTCTTTGAGACTGGTACAGAACATTGCCTCTTGCTTCACCGTACGGGCTTATGGTGTCATCAGTGTCCTCGTCACTGATCTCTGCGTACTCGTGGGGTTCACCCGAGTCATTGCATGGATTGTTGTCGTCTGGTGGACTGTTACTCACAACGTTTGACGTGGACACTTGGTTTCTCGGATCAAGAGGAAGGTCCTGAAGCCTACGCTCACTATTGACGTTTCTACAGCAAGCAATGGAAGCTGCAATCATCATAACCATTAGGACACTTGCTGTTGCACTTACTATCTGGCTCATACTAAATGTTTTGTTCGATGGTTTACTATGCCCATTTAAGATGATGATGATATCATCATTTTTATTAGTCGGGGTTAGTTTAGGTTCGCCAGTACCTTCTGTCGAAGGTGACATTGTGTCGGAGGCTAAAGATGGCGCCACTGTTGTAGGGTACGTCAAGGGTGTCTGAGGATCAGTGAAATATGGCAAGGATGCCTTCCCCTCTGAGGACGACGTTACATTCGCTACAGCGACCATCGCAGAGGAGTTTCCAGATGCCGATGTGACTGTGCAGTGGAGGAAGCCACCTTGGAGCTCCTGCACTTTTTGTATCTCGAAATGAACAACGCTAGTTGTTTTTCCAACGAATTGCCCGCATGTGGTGGTGCAGGGTGTGATCTTTGACTGATCTTCCTCCACATTCCAGCCTTCTGGTTTCAATGAAGTTTCTTGCGTTACGTTTATCTGGGGAAATGTTTTAACGATAGCGCTAGTAGTATATAGGCCCATTTTCGAAAGCCAAATGTGTTCCCCGTTTGGAAGGACCCACGTGATCTGTGGCTGGTCTTCCCAGAATGCCTCACATTTGTAGGACTGGCCACCATGATGTCGAGTGACTTGAACAACCGGTGCTGCACAGGTGAAAATGCTTGGTGGAACTCTGTTAAAAGATAAACTCTCAAACTTTGGTGGGTAACTGCAGATTAGATTATCTGCAATGTTTATCAATGGCAGCATACGATATCCGTATCGTCTAAGCCAGTCGTTAGAGCAGGTGCAACGGAGGGGATTGCCTATAAAAGTAATATGGAAATCCTGCCTTGTCCTTGCCTTGGGGAATGCATCGGCCCAAGAGTCTTCAAGTGCTGTGAGGCGATTATGACTCAAATCCACATGGTAGAGCTCAGTAAGATTACGAATCTGTAGGCTGTGCGGATTGAAGATGATTATGTCGTTGTATTTCAGAGACAGAGTTATCAGGGTTTCAGGCCAAAGAGATCTAGATCTGCAGTTCACCCCTTCTATTGTCTTTAGTCTGTTGTGATCGATGTTCAAATGCCTCAAAGATAGGAGGCGATGAAATGCATCATTGTTTAGATTGTTTATCTTATTGCTGCTCAGGTTTAACAGTTGTAGACCTCCCAACCCTGTGAAGTAATCTCGACGAAGTATCGACAATCTGTTATGAGCGAGGTTCAGTGTCCGCAGACTAGGTAGTGTCGCAAACGCGTTTGGCCTGATCACGGATATTAGGTTGGAACTCAGAGCCAACTCAGTTAAACTCGTTAAGCAGCAGAAAGAACGCTCTTCTATAACTGAGAGAAACGATTCCCTAATCTGGAGCACTTGAAGACCAGAAAAGTTCTCAAAATCGTTCTTGTTCATTGTGCGTAGCAGTCCGGGTCCAATTTGTAAATGGTATATGTTAGTGAAATGTATTTGTCGAAGTCCTGAAATCGCGTATCGGAAATATGGTCGTTAATAGAATGGCAAGAAAGGACATGGCAAGTCATTCTTCTTCAGGACCTACTATTGTGAGACGCAAAATACGTCATAACAATAACATTGGTAAAACGCAATTGCTTTTTTCGAGGGTGTGCAATGGGGTTTTCCAGCTCAACACTAGAAATACTGTTCGGACTTGTGGGGCGAAAAGAACATTTGCACATGTACACCTATACTAACAATGCCAAAGTTTCCCAATTGTTTGTCTTTAGTAAAATTGTCTGAAACGGGATAGTTGAAAATTACAGGAAAGAGTAATTACATCTGCGCAAGAACATTTGCACATGTACACCTATACTAACAATGCCAAAGTTAACGTTTCCTAATTGTTTGTCTTTAGTCAAATTGTGTGAAGTGGGGTAGTTAAAATTACAGGACAGAGTAATTACAAAGGAACGAGTAAATTTCACTCACCAGATGTCCCATTCAATGCGTAAGGTGTGAGCGCCAGTACCAGAAGCCCCGAGGGAAGGACATGACCAAGGCTTCGCAGGTCCCTCTCGGTTGACACGTTGCAGACAGCCATGCACGACTGTACACAGGAGCTACCGCTGCCTGCACAGTTTGATTCGGCAGAAGTCGTCCTGTCTGGTATAGGTGTCTTTCCATGTGTCACGACTACAATGAGGATCAAGACCAAGCGTGGTACCCGACTTGAAGGCATTTCGTCTGCGCCTTAGTTAGTAGTAGTAGTAGTATGTAGAACAGAGCAAAGAAATGGACGTGTGTGATATGACGGCTAAAGAACGTCGCTTCTGTGCTATGATTCCTGTCTACGGGCCTTTTTGTCACCACTCAGGAACGTCATCAATATTCATAAAATACAGGCTGGCCGGTGGACATTTTTAAGCACTTTGTCTTAAGGGCTTTGCCTTCCCGTGGTATCCGGACCACGGAGATTAGATTGAGAGCTTCCCATTCCATTGCGCTAGACGTTATATCCGGACCTTTCCTTTGTTTTGACAAAACATGGTCACATGTTGAAACAACAGCTACTCAAACAGATTTGGTACTCGTAGTTGGTTTTTATGTCTTTTACGTGTGTATTTATCATGAATACCGTTGTCTACATGTATATCCTCTGATTCTCTCTGACTTACCTCAAAATCTACTCTACAATCAATCACCGCACTAAGACGCGACAACCTTTCATCCACCACCTGCTTTAGCAGTAGAAAGACTGGGCTCAACACCTGAAGAATTATAGTATTAAGTTTGTAGGCCCCCCACCCCTTACTTATTCCTTTCATGCGTCATGCGATTCTCAATCTTATATCAAAGATATAAAAAAATGTAACATTATGAGATGTTTTTATGGATATATATATA